CTCTCAAAAATTCTGCAACATAGCCATGGCTATTCCATTTTCACAGCTGAGGAAATCAAGATTTATAGGATACGTGATTTGCCCAAAGTCACATACTACAACAGTTTTTTTTACAATGATACTGTGCTTTCATATAAAAACAAATCTGTGGTTAAGGTGGGAGTGAGGGTTAACTGATACTTTCTCATTCTTTTGATTGACAATGTTTATTCTCTTAGTCTTGATACCTAGAGAACGTGTCTACTCTGAAATGACAACTCCACGAAAACCTCAATTATTCCTTATTTGAAATGAACTGAATGAACAAACCCACAAGCTCAAGGCTTAATTCTGAGTACTCAGAAACAAAAACAAAAACAACTTGAAGTAACCTATTTACTTTTAATATGTGAGAAAGTTCACCGTACTGTGCAAACACTGTAAGGTAAAGAACACTGTGGTATATAGAGAAGAAAAGTCGATCTCTGATGCTCAACAGGCATTAGCAGATTTTAGGAGTTAGTGGGCAGGCCTTGCTAATCCTACCCCCCAGCACCCTCCGTTTAACTTCAGCACGGGGCTTTCCAGTCTTTTTCCATTGGAGATAAGTAAATTAGAATTATCTGGAGTCTGTTGAGAATAATGGCAAAAAACAGATGACCCAACAAGTCTGGTCCATCAATGTCTGGATGAGCTAATTACTTTCTGGAATGACAGGGGGTAGTTGAGGCAGGGAAAAAGTACATCAGATTACAATATTAATGCCAAATACTATACTTTTTTACTTTGATAAAACAAGATGATGGCAGCCTGTCACATAGCACTGATATAATTTTATAATAATTATTTGATGGACATCCTGGTAATGAAAACTATAGTTATATTTAATTTTGCTATTAGCTCACATTTAATAATACTTTAAGAAGTAAGTATGCCTCTTAAACGGGAATAGTTACACATTAAGTGGCCTATCTAACACACCATAAGAAAATGATACCAAAAATTTCACAGGGCATTGAAAAAATGCTACACATAAGCATTTTACATTTTATTTGTAAATAGGTACAGATATGTTCTCAGATAGCCAGGTCCTATAATAATGATTCTGGCATAGAATTCATAAGTAATTTAGGTTCTTAGCTAGAAAATAAAAAAGGAAATGCAATTTTGGCATCAGGAATTTATTTGTCATTTTCGGCGAGTGTTTCTTAGACATTAGGAATTATGTGTTGCTTCTAAGTGCATGAAGTTAGCCCATCAAGCAACTATCCCTTTGTATCTGTCAGCAGCACTTTGTTTTCATTTGGGGAACGATTTCTTCTCTATCTTAGTGGCTCATGTGGGGTTGATTCTACTCTAAGGATGATTGTAGTCTGCCAGGGAGAGTCATTGTGATTAATTGGATCAAAGACTGGTATGTGATGTGCCCTAATCAAAAGCCAGAAAAGCTGTTTTCATTGGAATGTCTGTGTTGGTGGAATAAGACTGGAGCTTCCCACTCCCTGAGGAGAATGTTTCTGAAAATGAAACCCACAAAAGGAAGAAGGGGCAGAAAACAGAGACAGTCTGGGGACAAAGTTTGAGCAACTGGATTAAGCTGTTCCTGAAATCCAGAATATCCTTGGACGTTCAGTCTTATGACACACCTACCCCCAACATACACACATACACACACACACTCACTTTTTTTTTGGATAAGCCAATTTCCTTTGGATTTCTATCACTCGAAAACAGTCCCAAATAATAAATAACACACATATTATGACAATGCATTATGGATGTCCAAGTCAATACTTATTAAATCTAAATCACCAAAACCTTCCAACTACACAACTCTTGCTTTAAGGAGCCTTATCATACCTGTAAGCCTATGAAGACCGCAAACTCAGAATCCATGGGGTCCTGATAGGAGTGCTTCCTTGGGTCATATTTTCCATGACTCAAACGATTCCTAGTACAATCATAGCATATTAAGGTATTCACAGAACTTTGAGACATAGTCTTGGTGAGCTATCCCGTCCCTCCAAAGGCAATCTGATTAGTAGGAATTAGTATCAGGCTTCTGAACCCCATCTAGGAGATCAGAATAAAATTTACAGGAGAGTTTTTCTAAGTGTGTCACCCAGAACACTAATTCCAATGGGTTCCATTTGAAAGAAGAAAAAAAATATATATAACATATGGTCAAATAGGTGTTTTACTATAGAACTGCTCAGAGTATTAATGCCAGCAGGCATTGTGAGCTTTCAAGAGGGGCCATGATAGCCTATATTAGGTCACAGGGCTCTTTTTTTAATGAACTTGGATTCTGTATAATGCATTTGGGGAGTGCCATACCATAATATATACTCTGTGATTTCCAGGCATAAATACCCGAGTGATTTGGAAGAATTTACTAATCATATAATAATGGCAGGGGGAAATCAGAGTCCCACAGTATGAGGATATAGGGTTTGGAATGACCCGGATTCAAATTTGGCTCCATTATTAGCTCTCCATGACCAAGAACAGCCATACTACCTTTCTAAGTCATAATGGCAAACTATGTAAAATAAAAAACACACTACCTATGCCATTGAGCTGTTTGAAAGCCTAATGTGGGGAGAAATTATTCTAATATGTATAACTCAGACCCTAAGTTAGACAAATGCACGTTTGAACCCAACTCCCACCGCTTACTAGCTACGTGACCATGGCAAATTACTTGACCCACCTAATTCCAATTTCACCTTTTGTAAAATGGAATAGATATTAATTACCTCATAGGAGGTATTCAATGAAGATAAAATGAAATAATACCTATACACTAGTTATTGCAGTCCCTGCTGTTTGAACCGCAATACCAATAGTTCTTAAGTCGCACAATATCAAATTACCTTTTGTAGATTAAGAACCATTAATAGCCATCATGTATATGGTTCATCATTTGAGTATGTGAAATGCCTATTCCAGTTTCTGGCAACCACTCCTTTGTTTATCTGGTCAGCCAATCAATATTTATTTAGTGCTTTTTTTTCGTATAGGCAATATACCAGACCAAGGATAGGAAGGTGACTGAGACCTAGTTCTTGCCCTTGGTAACTACAGACTAGATCAGAAAGGCAGGCAATGATAGCTAACTTGTTATTTTTTCTTTTGCTGAAAGTTAATAGCTAACTTTTTAACCTTTTTTCTTTTTTTCTAACTTTTAGCTTTTTTACTCTTTTCTTGAACCCATATAATAATGATCGTAAAACAAGGTGATGAAGAACAATGAGAGAAACGCATACAATCTGGTACAGAAGTACCATGGAGAGGATTCAGCGGTTCTTAGTAATGGCAGCTATTAGTATCCATGTACAAGGCTAGCACATAGTTGGGCTCAATGCATGCTTTATGAGTTAATTAATTAGTAACCTTCCATAAATCACTCTAAATTGTTTATTGCCAAAAGACCTAACATATAGCCAACCATAATCCAAACACATAAACATGTTCAAGTTAAAGTACTCCACTGAACGTGGAATTGCAGTTTTGCCATATTTCTTTCCTTATATATAACAATATAACAATCATGGCTCCCAAAAGAATGGCTGATTTAAAAATGCAATGGATTTGGATTATGGCAAGAGAACAGCTATTCTCTTGGTTCCTCCATATTATATTGCCATCACGGAGATAAGACATTGTACAACAAAAATTTATTCCTTGTAATTAATCCTACATTCCAAGGCCTCTTTTGTATTTCTGCATTCTGAATGTGGGCATTGGTAAACTGGTTCACTATACCATTTCCTTCCACTTTGATATATCATATTGACACATCCTGGGAAAATCACACTGCCCTTCTATCTAAAAGCTCCCACCAGCTTGCCACAGGTATTTTAGGTTAGAAAAATGAGTGGGTTTGGGACCCGCAATTATAGAAGGAAAAAGAATATAATCAGATCCTGGTGTGCAGATTGTTTTTTTAGCTTGCAAATTCCCTCTTTCCGGTGTTTCAACTTTCAAAGGCTTATGGTAGTTTAAAGGCAATCCTCTTATAAGTGTACAAATTGTAATGATTATAGGAACAAGTTGTAATTGTTTCTAGCAAGTTTTTTTAAGAGTCTTTGATGTTATGATTAGTGTTTTATATGTTAATATATTGATAGGGGTGCTTATTTGCTTGTTCCCTTGTATGCTTTTATGGTTTCTAGGTTCAATGTGCAAATAAATCTTTAATCTCAGTAGGTCTGTTTGGTTAAAAAAGAAAGCTAAAAGAAATTAAACATGAGAAGCCCAAGGTTTTACAATATTTACGAAGAGGCACGATTAGGGATTTCACCGTAAGAGTACAGAGCTGGGGCCCAAAACTTGAATATGGAGAAAGTGCCCCAAACCACACCACACATGAAGAGAGGCCTGTGTCTGGGAGTGCCATCACGGACCTTCGGCTCTTTTGTAGCCAGGGTGTGTAGCTAGATGGGGTCTAGGCTGATGTCACACTGAGCAAATCAAAGGCAGAGCTCTGCAAGCCATCGGCTTCCTCTTTCCCCGTTTGCCTCCTGCCCTTCAGAAATCACCATGGGGAAGAACTCTGTCTTTGCAATGGTTTTACTTTCAGCGATCCTCATCATGAGTGATTTCAAGAAAGGGGCTGGAATGCAGCGCCGCCTGGAGCATGTACCTGGACACAAATTGCTAAACTGCAAAAGGAATTTACTTTCTGTAATGTCTAAGAGGGAGGAACCTGGGATTTCATCAAACTGGCTATCAATAAAGCCAACAGCAAGGAAGGTCCCAGTCACACCACTCAAATACAGGGTTCGGGAAGTGTGCGCAGTGCTAAGACATTAATGGTATAACATTTTCTGTCTTATATTGACAGGAAAAGCCCAGGACGCTTTGCTGGAAACACAGGTTAGAGAGATTCTTGAGAGAAAAAGGAAGAGAGAGGATCGCATTTCCCTTTGCGTTCCCATTACAGCTCACTGGGTGGGGTCCTGCCTTGCTCGGGTTCCACAACTTGCCAAGAGAGTGGGAAATGATCCCGCATTTACCTTTGCTGTACACAATGCAGTTGTTTTGGTTGTCTTCCACTCCTTGCCAAGTCACATCCAGTAGCCACTTGGGACCAGCCGTCAGCACCATTGGGACCTGAGCCTTTGTCTTCTGTGGAAAGAATGATAACAAACAGATGCCATTTGCTTTCGTTGATTAAAAACTTGAATAATAACTGTACTAATCATTTTATTTTTACAAACAACTAAATCTCCCAAACCATAATCCAAGTCCTTATTCCCCTGTCTCATAATATCTTTTTAAGACGACAGAAGCTGTAAGGATTTACTGCTTTCACTAATCTGAATGGTAGAATTATTATCAAGGATTTTTTTTTTTTCCTAAATGATACTGGATCAGATCTCCAAGATTAGCCAGATCTCTTGTGGCTCTGAATTATAAAGAGAATGCAGATGACTTTCATTGCAAAGAGCAGAGTGTTTAGAAGTGAACTTTAGACACATTGTACTTTACTATCAACAGGATCTCACTATTTCCTGAAACAGACAGGAAAGAATTTAAAGAATCAGGATCCATTTCAAAGCTCTATCCTGAGCAACATTTATATTAGAGTAGGAATTTATTTCGAATGAATAATGAAATCTACCCAACCCCCTCTGCTAAGTGTGGATATATAGTCTCAGGGTAACTGAAATAATAATAATGCTAATGATTCATCATACATTGTCTCCAGAAAGACTATAAAAGAGGAATCGTGAATAAATTCAGAGGCAGAGCAACTAAAGCATGACATCCCTCGCTCTGAGAAGCACAGAAAGCAGGGAGACATGCACCCTAGTTCTAACAAAGTATTTCCAGTTGTACGTTTTAAATATAAGGCTCAAAAGGTTCATCATTTTAGGCTGTTTGGCATCCAAATTATTTGTCTTTAATTACGTTAAACATGGCAGGAAATAAACTGGGGAGGAAACAAGTGAGCTTTAGCAAGACTGTTGTTTCCCGATGAGTCACAGTGAACTGGCATTCAGACTTTTATCATCCACCAGACCATGTCTGTATATCAAATATCACAAAACCACAACACAGACTACAATGCAAGGGTCTCAAGGTAATTTTTGAACTGAATCTTCACCTAGATATGATCCTGCCAAAGAGATCTCAGCTCATTCTGGGACTTTGCTGCAAATTTCCCAAATTGGCATTAATAAGTATTCACTTGAGGAGTTCCATGTAATCTGGTCATTTCAAATCCCTCAGGAATCTGGAAAACCCATTTCACCCGCTGAATGACAACAATGATAATGTCTGAGACACGGATCTATTGTTAGCTGCAAACCCATATTGACAACTAGGCATAAGATGAATGTTAACCCATTTCTTGAAGTACCAATTATATTATAAGAGGTAGAACTACCATAAAACATACTGTTTAATGAAAAAATCAACCATAATGGATAAATTAAAAAAAAAAGAAATCTGAAAAAATATTTCAAATATTAAAAGAGATGGTAAACCAGATCAAGAGAAATACTAGCATACTAATTTTTTTATATTTATATAAAATATATTTATATTTATATATAAAAATATAAAAATACTTATATTTACATATCATTTTTATATTCATACTTTTTATATTTATATAAAATATATTTATATATAAAAATATTTATATTTATATATCATTTTTATATTCATACTTTGATTCATTTTAAATTCTTAATTTTTCAACTACATATCTTAATATTTGGCAAACATCTATCTGGTGCTTTACACGTTCAGAGAAACTTCTCTAGTAACAAACTATAGAAATTGTCCCTGAAAGAACAGTCTTGCAGGATGGTTATGTGAGAACCCTAGAGGAAAGAAGTAATTTTATATTATATCATGTTTTTAATAATACAGGCAAAAATGTTATCAAGTTATCTTTATGGTTATTAGTCTGAGTGACCATTTTTATTTCCATTTGAAAACAGAATTGCAGACAAGCAAGCTTCTTCAATCTGAAATGATAATAACCCATATCCATTTAAATATTAGGTCTTAATTATGCATATGTCTGCTTCTCTTACTACCAGAGGAACTGGTAAATCCACAGATCAGGGTCAGCAGGTCTCCAAGCAGTAGGCAGAAGAAGTCAGAGGAGAGAGTGCACCATTTCCATAAAACCGGATGTAGGAGATTTTGTGGTCTTATTGCTAACACCTTCTCTCTTCTGGTTTTAAAGAACAGAATTCAACAAAAGGCACCTCCCCCATTTGTACTGTACTGTTATTTCATGGGAAAGACATGCCTTTTATTTAATCTTTATACTCCATAGTTCTTAAAGCCACATAGATTTCTACACAGTAAATCAGCTCTTACAATTTTCCATAGATAATATGAAAAATAAAGTGATCACTTAAATTCTTTAGGGAATCTTTTAGTGTAGAGCAAATCAATTGATCTTGCTGATACTATAATCTTCCATTCATTTATGAACATACAAACCACCTCCACCGTGGTCCTGTGTTTGGTGCTAGGAATGTGAGGACATCTTTTTTGGTGAAAGATACGGATACATAAGAAAAAGTTTAATATAATGCAAAAAGTAGCATGGTAAGGAGTGCAAAGTCATGTGTAAATTGTTTTGGGATTAATGCAGGGCAAGAGAGAAACTTCTGTTGTGTGGATTCTGGGAAGATAAAGAGGAGGTAACATTCAGACAAGATCTTAAAGGATAAAAAGGGAGAATTTGCAATTGGTGGTATAGAATGGGCAAAATCTGAGCAGTTTATAAGAGAGTCATAAGTACAGGAAATAGTGAGTCTTTCTGGGACTCTTTGGTTTTAACTCCTTACAAAGTCATTAGAGCTCTTCTTGGTATGTAGAAAGCACTAGATATGCATTAGTTATCATCATCATAATCATTATTATTACTGTTAAGTGGAAGAAACATAACAGCAATGTGTCTGGAAGGGCAGGTGAGAAGCATATTTTGAAGGACCTTTTCATACCAGGCAAAACCCTTTATGCTTGAATTTCTAGGCAAAGGAAACCAGTTAAGACTATTTAACCAGAAGAATAAGGGTGCTACTATGTATGCGACTTGTGCAGGGATTTTCTTAGACACTTCCCTGACTTATTTAGTCCTGATGTCCATTCTCAGATTAAAAAAAACAAACAAACAACCAAAAACCCCTGCAACTCAAAGATTGATAATTTCTTTTAGGTCAAATAGCTGGTAGAAGGAGGACCCCATTTTTATGTCTAGCTTCGTTTCCAGACACTACCACTCCTCGGGTGACCAACCATCTGGGTTTTCCTGGGACTGAAGGGTCTCCCAGGATGCTGGATTTTCAGTACTTCAACCGGAAATTCCTGGGCAAACTGGGATGACTCATTCACCTCCACACCTACTACTACTATGGTTAGAACAATATTGGCCGTTTATACCTATTGAGCACTAAATGTTGGGTATTGTACTCCTCAATTACCTTTTTTGATTTTTAAACTCTGGGACTTAAGTATTAACATTTTCCCCGTTTAGTATATAAGCAAATTAGGATTTGAAGGAATTAATTTTATGGTACAAATAAAAATAGTTAATTAGTATATTTCCTTAGAAGTAAGTTAGGTATCATGTGTTTTAAAACCTTGGAAACCTTTAGTAGAATCTGACTTATTAAGAAACTGAATCGAAGGAAAAACAATTTCTTTTCCTCTAAACCAATAAAGCAAAAGCAAAAATGTAGCAAAGACTTGCTGAAAGCTATACCCAAGCTGTAAAGTAAATAATAAGTAGATAAAAAATCTCAAGGGACCAGTTATTACAGTTTTGAGGAGGTAAGTCAATTTCTTTCTGAAGAAGAGAACTTTTGTAGAGATTGACTGACTTCAAAGAAGATTACCAAGTGTGAGAAGGAAGGAGTTATCCAGGATTATATGAAATCTACACTCCAGCAAAATCCATGAATAGAAAATAACAATAATATCCACATTGATCATTAGGTTCACTTTCCCATGTCTCTATCATAAGGACTCATACAAGTCTAGAATGTTAAGAGCTGGAATCAACTTCAAAGTTCAATGAGTTTAATTCCCTAATTTCACAAATAAAGAAAGACCAAGATGTTTATTAGCATCCTACAGAGGATACAGTTGGCACAATATGTTGGGAAGAGAGTGGATATAAAAGTTGTGATAGACAGAGAAACAGTGTCCATGCCCCAATTTCCTGGAACCTGGGAATATATTACCTTACTTGGGAAAAGGGATTTTAAAGATGTGATTAAAGTTTAGGACAGTGAAATGGTGAGAGTATCCTGGATTATCTGGATAGGCCCCATCTAACACATAGAAGAGAGAGGCAAAACAGCAGGTCAAAGGGATTCCATATGAAAAGGATTCCACCTGCCTTTGGTGTCTTTGAAGATGGCATACTGAGGCTATAAACTAAGGAACACTGTAGTGTCTGGAAACTGGGATGACTCTCAGTTACAAGAAGTAAGGAAACAGGGACCTCAGTTCTGCAGCCTCAAGGAACTGAATTCTGCCACCAGCTCGAAAGGTGGGAAAGGTATTCTCCCCTAGAACCTCCAGAAAGGAATGCATCCTGCTGACATCTTGATTTTAGTCTAATGAGATCCCATACTGGATCCGATCTACAAAACTAATAATAAACTTGTGTTGTTTTAAGCTACTAAATTTGTGGTCATTTGTTTCAGCAGCAATAGAAAACTAATACAAAAGGCATTTGGGTTTACTGACTTACAGTTAAAAAAAAAAAGACTTTAAGTTCTTATCAAAAGCACTTAAAAGTGTGAAACAGCTTCTTCTTCATTGGAATAACAAAAAAATCTACGTTATCATTCCACAATCATTAGATATGCTTAATGTTCTTGTCTTCAAGTACGAGAACATACATAGTGGTGACTGTAATAATTTCCGCTCCTACAATTAAGTATTTAAAACGTTTCATGATTTACCATCGACCTTACAGTTGGGATGGAACCAAAAGGACATTACTGTTCTTGGAGTCAGATGGCCTCGGTTTGAATCCTACTACGCGCTATGGGCAGGCTCTGTGACCGGAAAACCACTTAAACTCAAATGTCCTGAATTTCAGAACACACATCTGCCAAATCATTTCTATCTCAAGGAAAGTCTTG